ATATGTATCATGAAATATTATTACTTGAAGATATTACGCTGCGTTTAAATAAATATATATATATATATATATATATATATATATATATATATATATATATATATAATATTGCGAATATGTACTTCTTAATAATGTTTTTGTTTAAAGTCTATGTTTCATTGTACCGGGACGATGGTGGATATTATACAAATGCAACTTCATCATTGGCGCTAACGTCAAAGCGAAATCGTCACGTTCGCCTTGTCGACGCTCATTTTCAGCCTTTTACGAATTAACACCTTTACCGAGACCTTCCACCCGCGTCGCGATCGCTGAAAAAAAAAGGAACGCATCGCTCGTTACGTCGGTCACTCGCGCTTCGATCGGGCGGTGACGCTTATCGCTTCTCGAGGGTCAAGGGGTCGAGGTGGGAAACGTATCGTTATCTCTCGACGATGTCGCTCGCGCGCGTAATTACGTGCGCGATTATTATCGTCATCGCGGTAAATTGTAAATCGAGTGAAAATAAGATTGCGATCAGTTATCTGCAAAAATATGGGTATCTGGATAACAGCGGTGCACAGCGATTTTCATCGTCCTACAACACCACGCAGGAGTTACATCGAGCCGTCTCACTGTTTCAAGAATTCTATCGACTACCAGGCGACGGCGAATTAAACGAAGAGACGCTGAATCGAATGGGTAAACCGCGATGCGGCGTCGAGGACATTTTGGAGCGCACGTTCGCTCCGCTTTCAGACAAATGGCCGAGGAAACATCTCAAATGGAACTTTCATCTGGCCAACGATATAATCTTGAAAACGACCCGAGCCGCGTTCGATCTGTGGGCAGCGAATTCGTCATTGACGTTCGAGCGCGATTCGCTGAATCCCGATATTTTGATATCGTTTCGTGAGGGGCGTCACGCGATGCTATACTCCCGACGAAACGAACCGTGTTTGTCTGCGTTCAGAGGTCCTAACGGAGATGTCGCTTACGCGTTCTTTCCCACCGGAGACCCCAATTTCGTCTCGGAGGTGCACGTAGACAAAGCGGAGACGTGGCACATACAGCTGACTAAAAATCCCCGAGGGACGTACAATTTACTTCAGACGTTGACGCACGAGATCGGTCACGCTTTAGGCTTGCCGCACACCTTCCGCGAAGATTCGGTGATGTTCGCGTTCGTGCCTGAGAAGACATTCCCCGTTCAACTTACTCTAGAGGACGTTCTTTCCATTTAACACCTGTACGGCGCTAAAGAAAACGCTAAAGTTCCAAAAGTAATAACGACGACGACACCGACGACTACCACAACGACGACAATGATAGCAACGACGACTACGAAAGACGTCGAGATGGATCTGTGCATTTTGCGAAACGTGGATACCGTATTGATAACGAACGGTCGATTGTACATCTCGCACGAACGATACGTGTGGTCAATCGATATAGACGGGAAAACGTACAAGAAACCCTTGCAATTGACGGACTACATGAAATTTCTTCCTAAGAATTTCACGCGTCTGACGGCCGCGTATCAGACGTTCTCGGGCAATATCATGCTGTTCGCGGGCAATATGAGCTACATGATCACTTATCCGCGTCTAACGCTAGTTTCAACTTGGCCGAGATCTTACACAGATCTCGGAATTCCCGATACCACCAGGAAGGTCAACGCCGTGCTGAACACGAATGAAGGACGAACTTTCGTTATATACGACGATAATGTTGTGGGCGAGAT